TCACAATTTGTTTCTAAAAACTGATCTTTCATAGACAAAATACACAAGCTAACATTAACGTTAGAATCTACGTAAACGACCACATACAACAACAAAAAAAAAACAACTATAGAACTCCACAACAACAACAAATAAAGTGTGTTGAGTTTTGCTTTTGTGTTTCTATTTCCATTATTTACAAACTATATCTGCTAAGTTATTTTGATTGATTCTGAAGTTATGCAATTCCTTAAATAAGTGAAATTAATTGGCTCTCCTTTGATAGGATATTTTCCCACTTTCCCCCTCAATTATTTTTCTCAATGAATTACCGCGGGGAAATAATATTGTCACACGGTCACAAAGGGAAAATTGCAGTTTGCTGAATCAAATAATTACCTATTCAGTGCAGCGTTTCAATAGCTCTCTCGGAATCGTTATAAAATACACTACAAGTGAGAAATTTCGTTAATTCGCTTCGCTGATTTGAGTAAGTGCATCTTGACTCCATAATTATTCACAGAAATAGGACAAGAAATAACTGTGAGCAATATTTAAAGGTGTTTAGAGGCTGGATTATTTAACCTGGACTTTATGCCATATGGTTTGCTATGTATGTATGTATGTATGTATGTATGTATGTATGTATGTATGTATGTATGTATGTATGTATGTATGTATGTATGTATGTATGTATGTATGTATGTATGTATGTATGTATGTATGTATGTATGTATGTATGTATGTATGTATGTATGTATGTATGTATGTATGTATGTATGTATGTATGTATGTATGTATGTATGTATGTATGTATGTATGTATGTATGTATGTATGTATGTATGTATGTATGTATGTATGTATGTATGTATGTATGTATGTATGTATGTATGTATGTATGTATGTATGTATGTATGTATGTATGTATGTATGTATGTATGTATGTATGTATGTATGTATGTATGTATGTATGTATGTATGTATGTATGTATGTATGTATGTATGTATGTATGTATGTATGTATGTATGTATGTATGTATGTATGTATGTATGTATGTATGTATGTATGTATGTATGTATGTATGTATGTATGTATGTATGTATGTATGTATGTATGTATGTATGTATGTATGTATGTATGTATGTATGTATGTATGTATGTATGTATGTATGTATGTATGTATGTATGTATGTATGTATGTATGTATGTATGTATGTATGTATGTATGTATGTATGTATGTATGTATGTATGTATGTATGTATGTATGTATGTATGTATGTATGTATGTATGTATGTATGTATGTATGTATGTATGTATGTATGTATGTATGTATGTATGTATGTATGTATGTATGTATGTATGTATGTATGTATGTATGTATGTATGTATGTATGTATGTATGTATGTATGTATGTATGTATGTATGTATGTATGTATGTATGTATGTATGTATGTATGTATGTATGTATGTATGTATGTATGTATGTATGTATGTATGTATGTATGTATGTATGTATGTATGTATGTATGTATGTATGTATGTATGTATGTATGTATGTATGTATGTATGTATGTATGTATGTATGTATGTATGTATGTATGTATGTATGTATGTATGTATGTATGTATGTATGTATGTATGTATGTATGTATGTATGTATGTATGTATGTATGTATGTATGTATGTATGTATGTATGTATGTATGTATGTATGTATGTATGTATGTATGCATGCATGCATGCATGCATGCATGCATGCATGCATGCATGCATGCATGCATGCATGCATGCATGCATGCATGCATGCATGCATCTATCTATCTATCTATCTATCTATCTATCTATCTATCTATCTATCTATCTATCTATCTATCTATCTATCTATCTATCTATCTATCTATCTATCTATCTATCTATCTATCTATCTATCTATCTATCTATCTATCTATCTATCTATCTATCTATCTATCTATCTATCTATCTATCTATCTATCTATCTATCTGCCTGCCTGCCTGCCTGCCAGCCTGCCTGCCTGTCTGTCATCTATCTATCTATCTATCTATCTATCTATCTATCTATCTATCTATCTATCTATCTATCTATCTATCTATCTATCTATCTATCTATCTATCTATCTATCTATCTATCTATCTATCTATCTATCTATCTATCTATCTATCTATCTATCTATCTATCTATCTATCTATCTATCTATCTATCTATCTATCTATCTATCTATCTATCTATCTATCTATCTATCTATCTATCTATCTATCTATCTATCTATCTATCTATCTATCTATCTATCTATCTATCTATCTATCTATCTATCTATCTATCTATCTATCTATCTATCTATCTATCTATCCATCTATCCATCTATCTATATACCTACCTGACTGTCTGTATGTCTATCTATCTGTCCGTCTGTCTGTCTGTCTGTCTGTCTGTCTGTCTGTCTGTCTGTCTGTCTGTCTGTCTGTCTGTCTTGTCTTATTTGTCTGTCTTGTCTGTCTTGTCTATCTTGTCCTGTCTGTCTGTCTGTCTGTCTGTCTGTCTGTCTGTCTGTCTGTCTGTCTGTCTGTCTGTCTGTCTGTCTGTCTGTCTGTCTGTCTGTCTGTCTGTCTGTCTGTCTGTCTTGTCTTATTTGTCTGTCTTGTCTGTCTTGTCTATCTTGTCCTGTCTGTCTGTCTGTCTGTCTGTCTGTCTGTCTGTCTGTCTGTCTGTCTGTCTGTCTGTCTGACTAATCTAATCTAATCTTATCTTATCTTATCTTATCTTATCTATCACACACACACACACATAAACATGCAGAGAGTGGTTTTTCGTTCACCAAGAGCGGTACACAAAGCACGAATCATCGTAGCTCCAGCGGCGACTCGCAGGCATCCACTGTAACCACTGAGTCAAGGAGACACTAGTAGCAGTGAATACTGTATGAATTAACCAAGCAGTCATTTAATAAAAACTGACATCACTGCCCTCGACACATTCCCACAGGTGCTCTGTCTGCTTCTTCAGAAGCTAACGCAGGGTCCGTAGACCAGTTGCTCTGAACCTTCCTAATGCCGCGACCCTTTAATACAGTTCCCTCATGTTATGGCGACTCCCAAACAATTATTGCCCTTTATAACTTTAACGAATATGTGTTTTCTGATAGTCTTGGGCGACCCCCCATGGAAAGGTCGTACCGGCGAGTTGAGAACAGTAGCAGCTGCAACCTGACACAAATCCGCCTATATGTTGTTTTCCTCAACGGTAAATATAATTCAGATTCTCTGTACTCCCCCCCCCCCTTTTCTCTTTGTTTCCACCCCCCCCCCCCACTTTTACCCCTGCCGCTGAATTAGTCTTTCAATGCGTTGCATTCTCCACTTGATGCCAGAGAGCTTTCATGGTGTCCGCTTTATCATAAAGTAGCTTACCGCCCAGAGAAACAGAAGCAGCCAGCCTAACAGTCTATTCATTACCCCGCTCACCAGAATGGCCAGGACAATAACACATCCAAATGGCCTTGATCTGAATCTTATCAAGGAAATAAACTAACTTTACGCGTTAAAAAAAAAAAAAGTAAAAGTCCCTTTTCCACGCCTTTAGGCGTATAGGGCATATAGGGCTAGACCTATATTTCTATAGACCAATCGGCACAAGATGGATGGTGTACTCTACGCGTATAATAATGTATGAGTTATGAGTTTGAATATCTCCACAGCACTCCAGACATATCTAAAGGCGCTCAGATTCCCCTCTCAACATATTCATCAGCGTCACGCGGTTAATAGTGCCAGTACTAAGTTGGTTAACAAGACTTCGTGTGCGTGCGGTGTACTTCTCTTGCTTGGATGTGCCGACTTTAACTCCCAATTCTCGTATTCTTAACAGTGATGTGGAAACGTTGCTTCCAAAATCCTCAGTTGCTTCCAAAATCCTCAGAATCTGTTATCTCTCTAAAGGCAATGTCTGCGTGATCCATGGGCCGGCCATCTTCAATTAATGCGGCACCTGCCAGACTATCAGCTCTTTTATTACCAACGACGCCTGCATCCCCGGGACGAATATGAAGGTAACTGCACACACAGTAGAGTTTTGCCATGACTTAAACCACTGTCTGCGTAACCAAGAATAATGTATATGGTGTCTGTGTACTCAGTAAAATTTGAACCGGTAATTCGTTCAGATTGCTACATTTTTTTAGTCTCTGTGGAGAAGGGGAGGGGAGGGGCGGGGTAGGGTTGCGTAGTCCCGAGACATGGTGTTCGCCTCGAGTGATAGACGTTCAATCCCCGGTAAGGGTGGAGATTTGTTCTCGTGGACTTGACTTCTAGTAATTCCACTTGGTCTCTGGGCAGTGTGATCGGACGTCCGGTTGCATTGTTGCGCACGTAAAAAAAAAAAAAAATTCAGTTGGAAATCGAAAAGAGTAGCCTAACGGCGCTGCCCGGGCAAAAATTTGGAGTTAAAAATCTACCCAAAGTGTTGCAGGATCCTTCCCTTGACTACAGGGCCTTTGCACTTTGCTGAGCTTTTTCTGACTCAGATTTGAGTTAGAAGAATAACAGAGAACTTGTGGGTTACTACCCGTGTGCCATGATGTTGATCCTTTGTTCAAACTGTCAGTCTCTGACGCTGTACATTACATATTTTGTTTACATAAATCCGCCATTTAATACAGTTTCCCATTTTGTGCGACCCTTTAATACAGTTTATCATTTTGTGCCACCCTTTAATACAGTTCCTCATTTTGTTGCGACCCCCAACCATACAATTATTTACATTGCTGCTTCATAACTTTAATCAATATGTGTTTTCCCTTGGTCTTGAGCAACCCTTGTGAAAGGGTCGTTCGACCCACAAAAGGGTCGCGACTGACAGGCTGAGAACCATGCTTTAGTCCATAAGTGTTCCTCCTCCTGCTCTTCTTCCTCCCTCTTATATCCTTCAGTGTACCAGTTCTTTTGCTCCCTTATGTTTTAAACTAAACATTACGTAAACGTGAACAACAAAAAGGGCTCTTACCTGCATGGATAAATCAGCCGGTCCAGGCAAACTGGCGAGAACAACGAACAGAGAAATACTTTAGCGTCTGGATGACAGTTGATGCGTGTCAGAGGCACCCAGGAAGCTGCCTGCTGGGTGACCTCGTTCAGTGTGTCGTGGTCCAGCAGGTTTGGCAGCATCATCTTCTCATAGCCAATGCCATGACACAGTGTTAAATTGCTAGGAATCTCCACACACTTGGGCTGTTGGACTCTCCCACTCAGTTTTGCCCATTCTGGATTATTCCAATCGCTGAGGTACTCTCCAGCGTTGTAGCTTTCTTGGTTGTTCCCGTTGTAGTTGTAGTAGTAGCTATCATCAGAGTAGCCATCGCTGTTGGCGAATATTTCCACAAAACACAGCCATACAAGAATCACGGTTCTTATAGAAAATGGAAACGAAGGCACTGAAGGTGGCTTTTCGGGTGCCATTTTACGCAATTTCTTTCTTCAGTCCTATTATATGAAATCGAAAATACCCAATTGCATGAAATAAAATTTAAGGACTAGAGCAGCTAAAGAGGAATGGATGTTGTTAGGGGAAACGCCAATGTGTAAAGCTGCAAATAAACACCACAATTAAAAACACTTGGAATTAATTATCTGAAAGTAAAGTCCAGAAATGCGCGGGTGTAGCTAAAGTTAGAAGTCACCAATTTTTACTTAGAAACTTAATTAAGCAAATACTAGAACGCGCGGCCAAGCTTTACCCAACCACTTGTGTGCTTTTGAACTGAAGAAAAAAAAAAGCGCGTCGTGCTAACGAACTAACAAGACAAGACGAACGACAATGTCAGCCATCATTTCCAAGGTAAGCACTCGCCCGTTTCCTCTGTTTGACCTGCCATGGGCTGGTCATGACGTGGAGCAATGAGGTGCTTAATATAACCGAAGCTTGTCCAAGAACAAACATCCATAGACCCGCGTACCACATTTGCTTTTCCTTAAATGGCAGTTTCCAACCGTCAGACACCGTGTTAAATAAACACTTCTTAATACCAAAAAGCCACTAAATAATTCTGAAGTGTCTTTACCTAATTACCGCACCGAATGAATCATTTTATTTAAATTTTTAACATATGCCACATCGGGTAGGAAATTCTTGCCCAGTCAATGGCCAGCCAATGTGATGTAGAAAATACCTGAACAAATTACATCTGTGTATAGTATTATGATAATTCGGTTTGTTTTGGCTCAATTATTAAAATTCCTTTAAAGAATATGAGATAAGGCACTGAATTAAACTCTAAAAGAGAATATCTCTTACAATTTCCAGTCGATAGCAAGAAGGGAATGCAGTTTCCTCCAGATTTTCAAGAGCACTCTTTTGAAGGGAGGTACAAACGATGCGGGAGTACTTTTGGATGCTTTTTAAACTGGGTTCACTCGGCAACTTGCCCTGGGAAGAGACACACAAAAAATCGTTCAAGCAAACAGCATCAAGAATATTTCTGCAACGTGAATGATGTGAACAGACAGACAACCTGATAGCATCGTTACCTGACTGCAGAGACTAGGAGCCTGCATGTTTGATTGTGTTTTAAAAATCTTACTTGCAGCGAAAGAAGAAAGAAGAGAGCTGGGGGAGGGGGGGGGGGTGTGTCCATAAAGAATGAAAGAATCTCTAAATAAACATGACAAACACGAAAGAAGGACGAACTGACAAGAAAGAAAGAAAGAAAGAAAGAAAGAAAGAAAGAAAGAAAGAAAGAAAGAAAGAAAGAAAGAAAGAAAGAAAGAAAGAAAGAAAGAAAGAAAGAAAGAAAGAAAGAAAGAAAGAAAGAAAGAAAGAAAGAAAGAAAGAAAGAAAGAAAGAAGAAAGAAAGAAAGAAAGAAAGAAAGAAAGAAAGAAAGAAAGAAAGAAAGAAAGAAAGAAAGAAAGAAAGAAAGAAAGAAAGAAAGAAAGAAAGAAAGAAAGAAAGAAAGAAAGAAAGAAAGAAAGAAAGAAAGAAAGAAAGAAAGAAAGAAAGAAAGAAAGAAAGAAAGAAAGAATACAAAGGGGAAAAAACAGGTAAAGAAAGAATAAATAAAGATATAAAACAATACAATTAACAGAATCAGAGCATTCATTTAGGACCAATGAACCGAGTAGAATTCTGAAACTGTGACATTCGGCCTTTTTGGCTTATGGTTTGCGAACTCGCTTCTTAATTAGCAGGTACGTGGTTCGACTGCAGCCGCAGGCGATATGACAGCAGACCGCCTTGCGTTTATTTCGACAAACGCTATCGACAGCGGACAACTGAACGTAAAACGGCTTAGTTAAACCGAAAAGCCGAACAACTGGGGTTGGTTCGGCAACAAGGTGTAGGACAAACCGAAAATACTGTGAGGATTTATCGTCACTATCCCCATGCCGTTTCTCATCTAGTGGTACGCGACAGTACGATGTACTGGCATTCTTTTTATACATTGCAAAGTAAAGTAAAGTAACAGGGGCCGCGTTAGCGCAGTCGATACAAGACTCGCTTTCAAATCCAGCTGCGACTCACTGCAGCCCACGGTCGGTGTTCGAAACCGGGCTGTTTCCGGCGTTCACCTAGCCTTTAGGAAATTGGTACCAGAGCTGACACTCTGGGGTAAATGGAGGAACGTCGCTGTAGCTACGGAGTTACGTGCAGACGTCGACACAGGCGGATATTTTCTTATCAGCTGTCCGTACTGGTAGCAGAGCACTTATGGTCTACAACTTTGTGCAATGACCTTGGTTCACATATCCCGACTTTATCTTTTTTTTTTTTTAAAGTAAAGTTAGGTAAAGCGCAAGCACAAGTAAAGTAAAGCAAAGCAAAAGTAAATTAAAGCAAAGCAAAAGTAAAGTAAAGGAAAAAAAAGAAAAAGGAAAGCAAAAGCAAAGCAAAGTAAACTAAAGCAAAGGAAAGCAGAAGTAAGGTAAAGTAAAGCAAAATAAAGTAAAGTAAAACAAAGCAAAGTAAAGGTTCCTTTTCACACCAAGGGCGCATTGGGCACATGATGCTAGACTAACATTTGTAAAGAACTATGGTTTATCGATGGATGCCGGCCGCTTTTACTTTCCTGGACTTTAACTTGTGGTAATTTTAGGCTGGTTTCACCTGGCAGCCAAGTTCATTTTTTGGTATCAAACCCCATCCCATCATATAATATAATTCGGGGGAGGGCAAAGGTAGGGGGTGCTGTGAGTGGGCGCGGTTGGGTGGGAGAGGGGTGGTGGTAGTTTTTCACTCTCATGATTTCTGTTTGTGGCATTACCACCATATGTATGAGTATCAAACAAGTACAAATCTCGGAAACTCTATTCAGCCATATAGCCATACTCGTTCATTGACCTGTTGTACCATTAGGTGTCACGTAGGGCTAGCAGTATATTCCTCCATGCGGCTTCCTATGGTCGGAAGCAGTCCTTGCTGGGAAATACTTCAGCATCCTTATCTATGGCTAGAGGCTTGCCTGCAGACCTGAAAATTCTGTGTTTGATTTCCCATCGAGTCGGATTTGTAATTTTCCAATTGACTTTGACTCTCAGGTCTGTAAAGAACCTGCCGACTAATGTCGGTAAGTTTGCCATTGCTCTCTCAACCTTCGGCTCTCCACACCAATGTAGACATCAACGCAACGCAGTGTGCTGCTGGAAAAAAAAAAAGACAACAACAGAAACGATAACGGGAAAAAGTCAGGGAAAACAACGTTGAAGTGAAAACAACCAGGTGAAAACAAAGATGTAAAAACGAAGAAGTATAAGTGATGATACAAATCTATATATTTATTTTCTCTTCATGTCACCATTGACACATAAGGCACTCACAAGTGATCTCTGTTGTTGCAGGTCTGTAGCTTTTCTGTTTGTGGTGTCCATTATCATTGTACACTCATTCATTTCCCATTATGTTGTCCGCTAGGTAACTTAGATCGTCGTTGTCTCCTTTTTTAATCTACCGTACATCGGAGAGCTGTCCTCGCCAGAGTGGCAATGAGCATTCTGTAAATATGTTCAAGTCATTGACATCTCCCTCCTTTGATATCGTTTGCCAGTGATGGTCATTTTGTTCTTTTCTTCAGTTCTACATTTGTGATCTTGTTATTCCAAAGTATCGCACGATTCTCCTTAGATATTTGGTTTAAAAAGTCTCTAGTCTATGTGTAATTTCAACACTCACTGTCGTGTACGTTTAAGTAAAACTTGTCTTTTGTAAAATCTGAGTTTTGTCGTCACACTAAGCGACACTGACTTGGATATTTAATTAGGCATAGCAAATTGTTGGTTCTCTCTTTTTTTTTTTTTTTTTTTATTGTCCATGCTTTTAAGGATCCACACATTGAATAACTTTAGTTCCAAGGTATATTACTACTTTGTAACTTCATTTATTGCTTCAGTTTACTGGTATTTATTTTGATCTTATCCTACTGGCCACTATCCTGCCATCTCCTTGTGAGATGCAATTTTTTTTTAAGCCTCACCCTGGCTCTTGCCAGGGGCCGCAATATAGCCCGACCATAAATATGGTATAATGACTGAACGTGGTTTCTGGGACCTCTCAAAGGGTGATCCTCATCCACATGGTGGCACTTTGTGTCATCGGATGTTTATCGTTTGTGTGATGTCCTAGTGGGGTAAAAATCTACTACTACTACTACTACTACTACTACTACTACTACTACTACTAATACTACTACTACTACTACTACTACTACTACTACTACTACTACTACTACTACTACTACTACTACTACTACTACTACGGGCCACTGTCCAATCTCTTTCAATCCTTCTCCTGAGCATCCACACAGCTGATGAATTTCTTCTTAGTGTTAGCATTCGCCGGCTGTAAACTTCAGCGGAAAAGTCAGCCTGTTCGTCTACGTCTTGTTCCAGAATTGTTGGGTGTACATTCTGTTTACATATTAGGCTTATTTGTATGTAGACTGTTGGTTGTTCATCTCTCATGCAGATGTACTCTGACTGAGGAGGAATTCACATCTGTATAATCCAAGTTAGTCGACAGACTGTCCTCATTGCATGTCGAACCACTCAGTCCATAAGTGCTCGGATCCCCTCCTCAGTAAATCCCACAGCGTGTAGCGGCTGACGACACCAGTTCTGTATTGGTTTATTATTACTCTTTGGTCACCTGCGTAGTGTTCATGTTTGGCGATAACTAGTTTAACTTGCAGTTCTTGCAATCTGACCGTGGTTGCAGATTCGCGTTTCTCGATTGGTTCATGCAAACGCCTTAAATATCGTAGAGCATTCAGTATATAAGCTTAGTCCATGGCTAGTCCGGTTTTCAAAGTAGCCTTACCAGCAAGTCTATCAGCTTGCTCATTTCCTCGTGCTCCCACATGTCCAGGCACGAAAATGAAACTAGTCCATGTCAGCCGTAAATGCTGTAGAGCCACCAACCCCCTGCCTTCAGACTCAGAACTTCTCTACATTCCTGAGTATGCTCATCGAG